TACTACCACTGGGTCGGTACCACTAAAAATGGACTATCAGCGTCAAAGGATACAATCCTTACTATCACTAGGTCGATACCACTACTGATGAACTATCAGCGTCAAAGGATACAATCCTTGCTACCATTGGGTCGGTACCAGTACTGATGGACTATCAGTGTCAAAGGATACAATCTTTACTACCACAGGGTCGGTACCACTACTGATGGACTATCAGTGTCAAAGGATACAATCCTTGCTACCACTGGGTCGGTACCACTACTGATGGACTATCAGTGTCAAAGGATACATTCCTTACTACCACTGGGCCGGTCCCACTACTGATGGACTATCAGTGTGAAAGGATACAATATTTCCTTCCACTTGGCCGGTACCACTACTGATGGACTATCAGTGTCAAAGGATACAATCCGTACTACCACTAGGTCGGCACAACTACTGATGGACTATCAGCGTCAAAGGATACAATCCTTACTACCACTGGGTCGGTACCGATACTGATGAACTACATTGTATCAGCGTCAAAGGATACAATCCTTACTACCACTGGGTCGGTACCACTACTGATGGACTATCAGTGTCAAAGGATTCAATCCTTGCTACCACTGGGTCGGTACCACTACTGATGGACTATATGTCAAAGGATAACTAGATAGCCGCCAGAGGGGAACTTCGTTTAACAAAGGACCCTATGTACAATACATACAAATGTCTTCTTTTAGAGAACCACTGAATGGAATGAAATAAAACATGGCATGAATGTTCCTTATGAGTTGCTGACCAAGTGTTGTAATTTTCTAGGCGATCAATTATCCAAGAAGGCCGCCAGCGGGGACTTAGTTTAACATAGGACCCTATGGACAATACATACAAATGTTTTCGTTTAGAGAACCACTGAATGGAATGAAACCAAAAATGGCATGAATGTTCCTAATGAGGTACTGGTCAAGTGTTGTTACTTTGTAGCCAATCAATTATCCAAGATGCTGGCCGCGGGGAACTTAGTTTAACAAAGGACCCTATGTGAAATACATACAAAAGTCTTCTTTTGAAGAACCACTGAATGGAATGAAACCAAACATGGTATGAATGTTCCTTATGAGGTGCTGGCCAAGTGTTGTTACTTTGTAGCAAATCCATCAACCAAGATGGCAGCCAACGGGGGACTTAGTTTAACAAAGGACCCTATGGGAAATATATAGAAATTTCTTCTTCTAGAAAACCGCTTAATGGATTGAAATTAAACATAGTATGAATGTCTTTTTTGAGGTGTTGACCAAGTGTTGTTACTTTGTAGCTGATTTGTCATTGTCCTTATAAAGTCATTTTCTACAATTTCAATGAATTTATTGATAATTTCTGTAAACTTTACAAAAGTCTTCTGCATTTGATTAAATTAAAGGGCCAATTTTGAACCAAATTTGGCCTCAATCATTATTAGGGTATCTGTTGTGACTTTTTATCTATTTTAAGATGATTTCCAAAACCAAAGTAGAATCAGGTGAGCGACACAGGCTCTTGGGAGCCTCTAGTTTGTTTTTAAAAAAATATTGAGAGATAGAGAGAAAACAATTATTCAAAATTATTTTAGACACCTTTTAGACTTTCCGATCAAAAGTTTATATCATTTCCCCTTTAACGCTGTTATATGGCACTGGTTGTAATGTATATAAATAAAGGCAACAGTAGTATACCGCTGTTCAATAGTCATAAATTGATTTAACTGAAACAAATCCGGGTCACAAACCAAAAGCGAGGGACGCACATCAACTATAAGAGGAAAACAACAGAACAACAGAAACACTGAACAGCTACAAAAACAAACGCCAACATACGTAGAAACGGACTATGTTACTCGAAAGAAAAATTATCTATGCAATTTGGAGATTTGATGATTTTAAGACAAATTTAAAAACTTTTTTTTTCGATTTTATGTGCTTTTTAGACAACTATACGTCCATTTTGAAAGAAAATATTCAATAATTTTTCAGAAATTAAAAGAAATAAATGCATTATTTGTTTTTCGATTTCAGTGCAAGTTTAACATACCGCAGCTGCATATACAAAAATTGACAAAAATCTGTGACATGACCTATATACTGTAACTTGAAATATGTTCAAATAAGATAAACGGTCAGACCGCGCAAGGGAAATTACTGATAATATTTGATATAAATTGTAGACCCTATTCATTTACATCAAACCGCTAATATAGAAATTAAAAAAAAGTATTAGAAAGTATTTAAAGGATTGAAATAAATTATTAATTAATGTTCATTCTTTCAGTCAATGTTCAGACTGCGGGAAATTGAGTACTGTTCAGACGACTCATTTGCAGTCAATGCAATACGGTTCAGTAGCTTATCAGACAATTAAGAATGCTGTTGATCTGTACAGGTAAAAGCTACTGAACATGATGAAAAAGGAATGAAGAGATCTGAATTTAATGCAAGCGAATGATCTTAACAGTACTGAACTAACTACGGTGGATAAGTCTGAAAATTGATTGAAAAACTGAAAATAACATCCAAGTTAGTCTTTCTTTTGAGAGCTGTTCAGCTAAAAATTACCGTTTAAGACTAAAATTCGTTTACTAGTGTTTTAACTGCAAACGTGATCAGCATAAAAAAATTTACAAGTTGCCTAAATCGTTCGTTAACTTCTTATAGAAGTAATTACCCTCAAATTATGATTTGCGACCAATCTCAATGTTTTTGCCTACAATCTTGAAAACTATAATAGATAGACTGAAACTTTGAACATCAAAAACTTATCAGCAACACAAGACCTACAAATAAAGTAAATAATTGAAATCACCAATCAACTCCATACACGAGTTGCTGTTCTTAATTCTCAATTTAGCCATATTTCATTTTGGCCTTTTATCTTTGAAACTAAGATGGGTGTTCAAAAACGTTTTCCAGCAAAATTTATCAGTAAGACGAGAATTTGACCCACACTGTTTCAATTAAACTAAAATATTTTGTAGCATTGAATCAGTATCATGCCAAAATTCCAACTGAACAAAACAGTTTCATTGGAGACTCTAGTATATAGAACTTTGAGTTGTGCTGCATTTGTATTTGCGTATTGTTTGGAAAATCTAGTCAAAAGCACAAAGAATACTGAATAAAAATACCGACTTTATTTTAATGCAAAATATGTTTATATTGGAAAATAATTTGTCTTCAATACCTATATGAACTAACGTTAACAAATTGATTATGAAACACACTGACTAATAACACCATCGAGGACTTGCAGTCTACCAGTAGTTGCATCAATTTAAAAACAATTAAAGGAAATTACAAGATAAAGAAACCGAATGGGGTTTTATACAAGATATGGCATTTCAAGAAATTAATTGGGTTATCTCAACTCTACTGATAAACAATGGACATTCCATGAGTTCCATGTAGAAACCAGATACATGCCAAACTAGAAATTATTAAGAAACTATGGTTCAAACTCCCTCATGTAAAGTTGACCTTGGATGAATTTGGCTATTCGTTTTAGAGTTTTTTTTTATTATTTAGCTCCTAACATTTCAGCGTATTTACAGATCTCTGGCTTTCAAGATAGACGAAAGATACAAAAGAGATTCCAAAACTCATAAGTCTAAAATGATCGGACAATGTTATGACTAAAACAAAAACGACAAAAAGACAAACTAAAGTATACAAAACACAACAAAGAAAACATTAGGCAGAGCAACACAAACCCCGCCAGAATCGGAGGAAGTTTCAGGTGATACGGAAGAGTAAGCTCCACATGTTGCACTCGTCATTTCGCTCAAGCAAGTTCAAATGTTTAGGTTTGAGTGTTTCGGTTGAATGTAAATCCACAAAAAAGCAATTTGGACGCATGGAATTTATAAAGAGTTTATTACATTTACTAGCATTGGGTCGATACCGCTGCTGATAGATTGTTAACCGCAAAGAGTACCATTAGCTCAGTAGTTAGTGTTTATTATTATACTTCATGTCAAAATGCCAGATTTTGATTGGTTAATACGAGGGAGACAATTTACTCTATCCTATGGTAAATACTTTATTACCCTTCACGGATACGCTTCATCAAGTGTGCGCTTTATTACATACGGATGGTTGTTATGTACAAGACGTCATAGTTTATTACTCTGAATTTGAAATTTAATAGACAGTTATAACAGAACATTTAGTATAATAAATTAAATAACACATATCTGAGAGGGTGATAGAGCAGATTGTTACCCCTCGTAAAGACATTATCAACCTTGGCTTCGCCTCAGTTGACAATGTTTTCTCGGGGTAACAATCTATCACCCTCTCGGCTATGTGTTATTTATATAGTATTGACATGAACTATCACATATACTTATTCGAAATATCCCGATCAGAAATTAAGAAATTATTATGAAAGTAAGATTCAAACTATCTCACGCAAAGCGACATCAGAAGAATATGGCTATTATATTTATTGTGCATTTAGAAAAGAAAGCAATGATTCCTGGAATCCCAAGAGAGAAAGCCAAGGTAGACTTTTCCTTGGAGATGTATATTTTTTCAGAATATGCAAATTTTTTTGGAAGCATGTAAATGAATTTTATGTTTTTGTTTGGGATTTGTTAAGTTTAATTTTTCTTGTACTTGTATTAAGAAATCTTGGTCTGACATAATACATCATGTATACAAGTAAATACTAAGGAAGTTAAGTAGCTAAGTGTTGATGAAAGATATCATGAACGAGTGAGCTGCAGTTTCCTTTTAATAAGATGTTTCCGTAATAATTTATATAACAATAGTGGGACAGAAAACATTCTTAAAACAATTATAGAGAAAAACAGTAAACGCAATATTATCTGTTAAATCAACATGGATGAAACAGGTGCCTCGTTTACACTGGATCCTTCAAATTTTACGCATTTTTTAAACACAACAGAAAATGGTACTATATCGAAGCTGAATAAAGGCATTGGATGGCGCCCGCGTATTCCAGTTTCATCCGTAGTATAATTTTCACTGGGAGTAATTGGCAACATCCTTGCAATTTGTGTATTATTTCGATCTAAAAAACGACACAGATGGGGAGTTTTTTACAGATTTGTCATAGCCTTAGCTTTTACGGATCTATTTGGTATTATCACAACATCCCCTGTAGTTTTTGTCGTCTTTTCCGGAAAAGCTAGTTTAAAGGCGAGTGTATCATTATGCCATTACATGGCGTTCATGATGATATTTGCCGGATTAGCAACAGTTCTTTTAGTTGGTGCCATGGCTTTGGACAGATATTTTGCAATAATTCATCCATTCAAATATAGTGTTGTTGATCGATACACTATAGTCAATTTTGTTATATTTGGAATATGGTTGGTTTCCGTTCTTATAGCTTTATTGCCTGTATTTGGTCTCGGCGAAAACGTCGTACACTATCCGTTTTCGTGGTGCTTTTTTAATTTCTTTGGTCATCAAGTTGAAGACCAAATATATGGATATTTTTATTGCGTACTAGGACTTGGTACCATTTGTGTAACGGCTGTACTGAATTGCCGTGTAATTGCAGGACTTATTTCCGCGAGAAGAAGTACTGCAAGACGTGGAAGTATAACGAGCAAAAATTCAAGATCTAGAAAAGACATTTTTATAACTATTTTCTTAGTAGCGATATTTCTTGTATTCAACATTTGCTGGGCGCCGTTTATGGTAAGAGTCTAATCAAATATATTCATAAGCTTTTTAAAAAAAAGTCAGATACAAAATATTTCATTATATTTATTGTGAAACTTTTCTGAAAAATTTACGAACCACCAAATGTAAGGATGAAATCATATAAATGTATACAACTATTTTTACATAAATTTAACCTTAATCTGGATCATGCTCATGTTTAAAAGTGTGAAAGGCGGAAAAAACACAAACAAAACTAAATGACACTAAATAGAATAAATGAAGCCATCCATGTCTAACTATGCCTGAGGTATTGGAAACTATAGATAAAAGAAATATATATATTGGTTGATGTTACTAATATGTATGTTATACGTATTGTTAATTTAAAAGAAAAATATGGAAACGAAATTACAACTGTTTAGAATTTTCTCTCGTTTTTTTCTGGTCATAGTTGTGTTATTCCACTGAAATGTTATCAATCGTTGGCCTAAATTATTTAAATAACAAATTGATTTTACAGTGTGAAAAGTAAGAAATATTTTGTTTTACTTTTCAAACGCATAGTCATTATCAAGTAAACCATTTACAGTTATTAAATGAAATCCATCCTCTTTTGCTTAGATTTAGTATATATATATCTCATCGACGGCATGAAATAGAAATTGTATATATTCTTCAGATTGTATAAGGGAAATTTACTTATGTTTTGTATAACACTGAAACAAACATAATAATGATTAAATTTCAGATAAGACTTATCATCAATCAAAGCGGTACTGTTCCTCAAGATAGAAAAGCGGATGTTTTTGCCTTAATTCTTGCAAGCTGGAACCAAGTCCTTGATCCCCGGATCTATCTCTTATTCAGACATGAGATGCTAAAGCGATTTGTACATTTGATCACAAAATCCCGAGGAGGATCGGCCTTAAGACGTCTAGTAAGCTTTACAGGAAGCTTTAGAGAAAGCTTCAGGAGCACATCATCTGGTTCTGAAATGACACAGGCCACAGAATCACGACAAATGCAGATTGATTCGTGTGTGGGTGAAGAATTGAGTTTCAAAAATGAAAGCAAAACCAAGACTACTGATTTCAACGATAAAAGAATGATACAGGACAACGTTTCAATATCCGACGAAGTATAAAACTGTTTTGTTTTTTTAAGTCACCTTGCACGACCTAATAATAGTATATCTCAAAGTAAAATGCATGCTTAAGGTAAATTCATTTATATTTGTACGGTGTGTTTATTTTTTTAGATAACTTTCCTTATGTGTACTAATAAATGTTTTCCATTAATCTGATATTTTTTATCAAATTTGTTATAAAGTCCTTTAGAGTAAATTGTTATGTTCTGTCAAGTAAATTAACTAAGAGAAGGTGGAAGATATTCTTTTATTTTCTCTTTTCGTCTGGTAAACACAACTTCAAGAACTTCCATCACATATTGTTTTACTTTTGTCGTTATTGTTTTGGTTACAGGAACATAGGAATAAGATATTTCTGTACAGTCACTAGTATTGTCTATCCTGTTTCCAATAGCAGTATTATATATTGTGCGTGCTATTAAGCGAAGATAAAGATGTTGTAACCCTGAAATGAATTCAAATAATTAACCATTTCATTGTGTAAAAATAGATATATATACCATTTAAAGACCTTTCGGTCAAAAATAGTTTAAACATAACCATAATAACAGGATAGACAAATTTCTATATTTATGAATGCTGTTGTGAAATAACTACTGCCATTTTTCAGTGGTGATATGTTCTTATTGTGGTCTTGGTTTCCAAAAACGTTGTTGCACTTTTTACAAGTTCAATGAGTAAAATTGTTTTCATTGATGAATTTATTGGTAACAGCTAGCATAGACATGATAATAGTGTACACACTTATTTTGGTTTTACTAAATTTCTTTAAGTCTTTCTCCATTCTGTTATACTGTTATGCAAGAAACGTGCCATGTACAATTTCGAACATGCTTTGTGCTTTTCAAGGCAATCAGAAAACAGGAAAAACATTTTTTGAAATATAGGATCTAATACTGTACGCACATTAATTACGCAAACATTTAGTTGAAATTAATTATGATTTTATCTCAATAAATTGTTTATTTTTATTTTAATGACTTAAAAACCCTACATTTAATCACGTAAAACACTTAAAATGTCATTTTGCGGTAAGAATAAAAGAAATTACATTGGTGTACCGAAAATTCACTATTTAAGACCCAAATAATGACAGTAACTGTTAGGTTTCTATGGTAATTAGAGTCGATTATTTTTGTATATAAGCCGCGATCTACCAAACCATTGAAAAGGTTCGTCTAAAATGCACAGTGATGCATGGATTTTACCTCGTGTTGAAAACATTGCTGTGAAATGCAGAACAGCAGTAAAAATGCTGTTCATTTGCTATGTTCAAGTTGACAAAATGATTTTACGTATAAAACATAAAATATGTGTATAAAATCTAACACGGTTAAACGACTACCACATATGATTATCTCTCAAAACAATAAATAACGATTTTATCTCTTGCACAGGCTATAACATTTTTTCCAATTTCTCAGAAACGAAGACTGATAATGGCGTTCAGGCTGTTTAGCAAGTAAAACAATTTTACATTTTTAAATCGCATTATACATGTTTACAAGGCAGTAAAAACATTAACTAGTAAAGTAGCTACTTTTGAAGCTAAGTGCATTAAAAGAACAATGTATTGAAATGAATGTTAACATCTGGATCAGGAAAGAAAAGACTTTGTTTGATATCTGATTTTTTTAATTATTGTTTGCAAACCCATTTTGGAACTATTTTCTTCCTTTTTTATTTTGTTTGTTTGTTTTTAGCGATTTGTGTTAACAAGTAGGTTCGCTTGTTTGTATTTGACCTAATAATATTAAGTCATCGTTTTTCGATCATTTTGAATAAATTTGCTTTTCGCAGATGTTCATTGCATACCACTGGTATATCGAAAATTTGACTCGTCTTCTTCACCCTTATGAAAACATTTTCCTCATTGCTTCTTAAATTTCTTTGATAATTATCCACTGTCTCATTTAATCAAAACCATCGCCTGAATTGCCCTATAAGGTATTCAATTAGACATATATCATAAATTAATTATTTCTGCTGAGTCTTTACACTTATTGTATGAAACGGGTTTCAGTTCATGTTGCATGGCGACTGTATGTATATCATATTATGTACATAATAATGGCTGTTAAAATATACCTCCCACGTTAATCCACATGTATCGTGACCTATGTGCAAACGCTATGTCGATTTCGCTGTGTTAAAAAATACAATTGAAAAAAAACTATTCTTATTCTGAGGCATAACAAAAAGAATTTATGAATTAGAGATCGGAAATATACAAAATCAAAATAGATTAAAATTCCGCGAAATTCCATTAATGATTTTGGCGCATTAACGTCATTTCAAAACATGACGTCATTCAAATGAAAACGTCAAACCTGAAGGTTTTTCCATAGCGTTTACATTCTAAACTCGGATAAAATTGCATTACAATAAAGTTTTGAGGTAGGTGTTGCCTTTTTTCTATTCTATTGCATTATTCGAACATTTACTGATATCAGCAAGTCAACATGGCGGCTCCTTGGTTACAAAATGTCAACAGTGAATTTGACGGTAGCTGTTACGAGAAAAAAATGTAAATTAAAAATGGCAAATGTTGGGTTTGAGAATTAAAAGAATCAATCACATTTTTTCTAGCGGATATTTAAAAAATGATTCATGCAAGCTACAGATTAATTAGATTTTTTTGTACATTGATCGAACAGTGGGTAAAATAGAACAGCCACACACACGGCATACCCACCCTCGCTTTAGTTTTTTATGACCGTATTTGCCCTATTAGAATCGAAATAATTCATGGGAGCCATAGATTTGTTGTAAATTTACATAGGCCTGGGCCGTGATATTCGTAAATTTTATCCATCGCTAACGCTCAGGATAAAATTCGAATATCACAGCCCAGGCCATGTGTAAATTTACAACAAATGTATGGCTTCCATGAATTATTTCTTATATATTGTTCTTGTTTTTATTTGTTGGTAAAATTGTATAAACTATTACGCTCATTGCTTGTTGTTAAATTTTAAAACGAAATTGGCAGACTGATTTCCGCAACACGCGTTTTTAAGCGTTACAATTTACTCCTCCAGAGTATGAGACCCCTTTATACTTTAAAGAAAAGTTTTATTTTTTATTTATAAATGACAAAATGATAACAATAGTTTACACACATTTTCTCAACCAACTGATGTAACTCCTCCATATATCAATGTGATTGTCTCATTCCAGTAATATCGACAGTGGTCTTCCTTGTCAATACCTTAGTGCTTTGTCATTTTTAGAATCAAAATAGGGTGGTTAGATTTATCCGTAATTTATCTTTACTTCGAGCTTCGACCTCCGACCTTCGTGTTTGTGTAAACTAGAATGTGAATCAAGTCGGGGTGGAGGTTAAATTGTAATATTCAGTTCATTGAAAACAGCTGCACTGTTCTTACTGTTGGAGATATTTTTGAAGATCATAGTTCTTCTATTATGTTAGTTCTATCTAGGACAATGACAAACAAATAACAGTACACAATTCTATATAGACAATCCCTTTTGATATCTTCTGCCTCTGTCTTAGAAAGCTTCAGCTACCATAAGACCCTTTGGTCACTAGATTTCTTTTAAAGATTTGAATTTTTGATAGTAATTTTTCATTGACGAAAGACACAAATGGCCATTTTTCATAGAAACCAATGTGTGTTATAACGTTTGAGCAGACAGAAATCACGAATGAATGTTTAAATGTGTAACTTTTATCCTTGAGATTATCTTTGTACGTTTCGAAAACAAATTGCATTTACAGATTGAACACAAAAACTACTCATCAAAGATTCCATGCTAATATTTGTGTACGCGAGACGCGTGTTTCGTCTACAAAAGTCTCTTAGTGACGCTCGAATCAAAAACGTTAAAAGGCCAAATATAGTATGAAGAGCATTGAAGACTCAATTTCCGAAAGGATTTGTCAAATTAAGCTGCAGATATCTATTCCTGAGGAAGACAATAGTTAGCATTTAATATATATTACAAAAAAGTTTAACAAAAATACCGAACTGCTAGGTAAATTAAAAAAGAGGAAGGCCATAAAAATGACAAGTTCAAGCATTATCAATCAACGGAACGAGTGAAAAACAACTGTCATATTCCTGACTTTATACAGGCATTTTCCGTAGAAATAACGGGTTAAACGTGGATAAGCTAGCTATAAAACCAGGTTTAACTTACCATTTTCTTCTTGTTTTCCATTCGTTCAGTAAGCTGATATGGTAGCAATACACAGTTAGGAGTCTGGTTTCGCATTTTGGCCCCGGTGGATTTTTCAAATATGAAAGTTATTGTGTAATAAAATTCATTTTTAGACAGCTGAGTACTAATTTAGCCTTCAAAGGTGGTTTATAAGAACATCAAGATTATTTTTCACATGTTTTATGGGCTATTTTCTGTTTGACTCTCCGTATTTTCATAGCTAGACCGGTCATCGTTCCAGAAAGTAATTTTTTTCTACACGCAATTTTACAAAAAAATGAGACGAAAGACATATGATTTTCATTGGATTTATTGAAAGATATATGTAAACAGTTTCAGAAAAGGTATTACTTGAAGTGATTGAAATTCTACTATTGGTCAAATTTCGGGGAAATATGTGACATCTTTTCCCCCCTTTTTGCTATATTTTATAACAAAAAAATGCAGATTGTTGTCATGGATACACCAAAAAGAAATTATATTTTACCATTTTATATACTGGATATGAAATCTATGGAAGATTCTGATTACATACATATGCACATATATGACACAAACAGTAAGCTTAATATTGCAAGAAGGCAATGAAAAGGGGATGGTAAATTTATGAGGGAAAATTTTAATATTTTTTCCTAACTGTTTATTGCTACCTATAGTTGAACGTTTGATTTTGTAAGGATTTATGGACTTCACCACTTTTTGAGTTAGGTATCTTTGTTTACACTTTTAATGGTTTTTAATCCTATCGATACTTTGGTTAGGCATTGTACAAGGTTTTTGCTTTTTTTACCCAGCTAATCACTTCTTTACACTTATTTCGTTATATGTGTAATGATTGATTATTTATTTAGTTAAAAAAGTTTGTGCCGATGTTGTTTTGTTACATCGCCGGTCCATTTTAGGCAAAGTATAGAGCTCATAACCAAGTTTAACCAAGCCACATCGGCATGTCCCTGCCTAAAGCAAGGAGATTTAGCCAAAATGTTTTGGTTGGTTGGCGTCTTTCTTGTTTTTCGTATGTTATTAGCTTAAATCTGGTGTCAAAATGATGGAGTCAGGGAAGAGACGGTCGATACAGTTACACGTAACATTGAAGGTGTTAAATCAAACACAACATTTTTGGCTTCTTTGGCATCCGATAACAGTCAGGATTCTACTTCGTCAAAATTATCTCCCCATTACGCCAGTTTATTTTTACAATCGTAAAAATGGAAGCCATTGTAGGGATGACGCGATTCAAATTTAGCTCTTGAAAACCGATAAATTTATCCACCATTACAATCCTTATATGCCAGGTGTATTTTAAAAGACAAATGTATCTACTATCTAATGAGCATCAGTTAATGTACTTGTCTGCATTTAGTCAACTTAAAACTATTGTCGGATCGGTTGTCAGGTGGAATTTTCGGAAATTCATAAACATTTAAAAAAACTCTAATTCAATATTTCGTGGAAGGGCAGACTAAAAATTTTCAGTGGTTGAAGACTATAAACCCTAATTATCACACACAAAAAATGAAGTTTTTTCGAAGATATGCATTTTTAAGATCCAACTTAAAAGTCAGTCGTCAAGTACTTTTAGTTAAAATTTGCTATTCGAACACACCTACTCTGTTATTGTGATTCATTAGAAAAGTATTTCACTTGACCCATATATTTAATTTTTTAGTACTGTGAACTTTCGATGTTATAAAGTCAACCTGTAGCCTTGATATATAAAAATAATAGAATCTGAAGCGAGATGATGTATCAAATACTCTTGCTTTATACGTTTTCAAGACAAAATATTTGACTCAAACACGCCCTAACATAAAACGGTGCACTCGATTTTATCTTTTCGATGCAATTGTTACCCATTTGTTTGAATTTTTTTTTGAGTTACATAATGGAAGGGCAGAAACGAAAATCAAGGAACAAAAAGATTGATATGTTCTCCGTCCGTGGTAAAAAAAAATAAAAATTGGAGGTTATGCATTTTTTTTTAGATCCAACTGAATAGACACCCATGTCGTCGACTTGATATCTAATTGTTCTGCTTAATTATGTAATAGATAAATTGAAAACTTATGCAAATTGTGTTTTTATGATAAAATACTTCGTAATTTAGCCGAAAACTGTCATTTTATTTGTTTCTATTAACTTTTAAAAATTTTGTTACTAAAGTAAACATTACAGTAAACATTTATCGCCTTCTCTAACAAAGAGCTTCGATTCTTTTGTTCTATTTCAACTGGGTTTCTGCCTGATAAAAAATTCTATGCATTCAAGAACATGTTTTATAGGAATTCCAGAAACACTTTCTTTCTGAAATATTGCCAAATTTTGACAACTTCACACGTTGCCACAACTCTAACGACCCATTAGACGGATCAAAATTTCCAAAAGGAAAATAAGGGGACTTTATTTTATTGCCAATCTCCTGGAGTGGGAATGTAAAGAAATTAAAAGAGGGAAATGAAAGAATTGTAGCAATCACTCTATCCTCAAACTACAATTTATGCATAATCAATGCATACTTACCAACAAACGATAAAGACTCGTCATATGAATACTCTGAATGTCTAGATATATTGTCTATGATATAACATAAAAATATCAGGATTTCTATGAAATAGTCTTCTGCGTGGATCTCAATGGGACCTTTTTACAATTAAGATCGAACAAGCATGATAAACTATTTAAAAACTTTGTACAATAATTAGAATTAGGCCTTCAAACTGCAGGAAATTATGAATAAGAAATTACTTCCTTCATCATTCTGGCCAATCAATCTCCCAAATCGACTACATTCTACTTAAAAATTTATCAATAAAAAAACAATACAAAATTTGGAACCGTTCAGTTACAAATAGCTCAGCTCATTTGCCAGTAGAAACAAACATTACTGTAAAAATCCCGTGGAGCAAGTAGAAAATCATCGGAAGCAACTTCCAACAAAAACTACTCTGGGATGAAATAGACACTGAAACGTATAACTGAAAGTTATCAGAAAGACTCCTTAAAATTCAGTATAATGAATCAACTTCAGACCAACTTCAAACTATTACAAATGAATTAATCAAAGCAACCAAATTTGCCGTTCCAGCGAAACCAATTAAGTAACAAGGGCCAAAATGGGAAGCAACACCAACGGTTCGAAAACATCTAAAATCATGTATATTACTCTACTCCCATTGGAAAAATCAGGGACGGTCACAAAATCATCCATCACATACTTCATTTAGAAAAGCCAAGAAACTTCTAAGAAATTCACAAAGAATAGAACAAGTCATTGATAGAAAAAACCTCTATCAACAGATCATGGAAAAACCTGCAACCAGACTTTTTTTTGTAGGTTAATAAATAGAAACCGAAAATCAAGAAATAATACTATAACTTGTTTAGAAATAGATGGCGAAAAGGAATACTCTCATTCAAACCGAAGAAAAGTATTTGCTCAATACTATGAAGACTTACGTATGCTACAATACTCTGAATATGACAACTCTTACTCAGAACTTTGCAAAACACGCCAAAACCTTATTGAGAAATTCTACAAAGAAAATGCAATTACATCTGACCCATATACTGAAAATGAAATTCAAAACTCAATTCAAAATTTAAATATAGGGAAATCACCAGACGGATATGGGCTCACAGCCGATCATCTAAAGTATGCCAAAATAGTATTAACACCAGTATTAACAACTTTATTTGATAAAATACCCCATCCTTAAAGCCTTTAAAACGGGAATTCTAACTCCAGTTATAAAGAGTTGAAAAAACCCTCTAGATGTAAAGAGCTACAGAAGAATTACTGATACTCCCATTATTGGAAAAGTACATGAACTATGCATACTAAAGAAACTTCAACTACAACCGGGTCCAGATCTACAATATGGTTTCACAGAAGGATTATGTCCTCTCATGGCAAGTTTACTCATAACAGAAGCAAAAAATGTGACAAACTTTTAAAGAATATACCATCATTGATAACAACAGTAGACGTACAATCAGCTCGATGTAGTCAAACATATCATACTAATGGATGAATTACTGAACCAAATTTTTCCTCCAGATATTCTGTACTTATTTGAAATTAAAACCTGTGGATACTCACTGTGCATTTAGAAAAAAAGCAATGATTTTTACTGGAATCGCAAAAGAGAAAGCCAAGCTAGATTTTGCCTTGGAGATGTATATTATTTCAGAATAAGCAAATTATTCTGCAAGCAGGTAAACGAATTTCATGTTTGTGTTTCGGAATTTGTTAAGTTTGATTTTTCTTGTAATAGGAAATCTTGATATTAGATCATACATCATGTATACAAGTACTTACTAAGGAAGCTAAGCAGCTAAGTGTTGATGAAAGATATCATGAACCAGTGAGCTGCAGTTTCCTTTTGATAAGATACTTCCGTAATATTTAATATAACCACAATGGGAAAGAAAACATTCTTAAAACAATCATAGTGAAAAACAGTAAACGAAATTTCATCTGTTAAATCAACATGAATGGAACAGGTGCCTCGTTTACACTGGATCCTTCAAATTTTACGCATTTTTTAAACATAACAGAAAATGGCACTATACCGAAGCTGAATAAAGGCATCGGATGGCGCCCGCGTATTCCAGTTTTATCCGTTGTATCATTTTCACTGGGAGTAATTGGCAACATCCTTGCAATTTGTGTATTATTTCGATCTAAAAAACGACACAGATGGGGAGTTTTTTACAGATTTGTCATGGCCTTAGCTTTTACGGATCTATTTGGTATTATCACAACATCCCCTGTAGTTTTTGTCGTCTTTTCCGGAAAAGCTAGTTTAAGGGCGAGTGTTTTATTATGCCATTACATGGCGTTCATGATGATATTTGCCGGATTAGCAACAGTTCTTTTAGTTGGTGCCATGGCTTTGGACAGATATTTTGCAATAATTCATCCATTCAAATATAATGCTGTCGATCGAAACACTATAGTCAAATTTGTTATATTTGGAATATGGTTTTTTTCAATTTTTATAGCTTTATTGCCTGTTGTTGGCCTCGGCGAATACGTTGTACACTATCCGTTTTCATGGTGCTTTTTTAATTTCTTTGGTCACAAAGTGGAAGACCAAATATATGGATATTTTTATTGCGTACTAGGACTTGGTATCATTTGTGTAACGGCTGTACTGAATTGCCGTGTAATTGCTGGACTTATTTCCGGGAGAAGAAGTACTGTAAGACGTGGAAGTATAAAGAGCAAAAAATCAAGATCTAGAAAAGACATTTTCATAACTATTTTCTTAGTAGCGATATTTCTTGTATTCACCATTTGCTGGGCGCCGTTTATGGTAAGTGTTTAATGAAGTATATTCATAAGCTTTTTTTTTAAATTCATATAGAATATTTCATTATATTTATTGTGACACTTTCCTCAAAACTTAACGGACCATCTAATGCAAGTATGAAATCATATAAATGTATACAACTATTTTCACATAAATTTAACCTTAATCTGGATCATGCTCATGTTTAAAAGTGTGAAAGGCGGAAAAAACACAAACAAAACTAAATGACACTCAATAGAATAAGTGAAGCCATCCATGTTCAAATATGCCTGAGGTATTGGAAACTATAGATAAAAGCAATATATATTGGTTGATGTTACTAATATGTATGTTATACGTATTGTTAATTTAAAAGAAAAAATGGAAACGAAATTACATCTTCAACTCCGATTGTTTGGAATTCACTCTCGTATCTTTCTCGTCAAAATGGTGTTATGCGACTGAAATGTTATCAATCGTTGGTCTAAATTTGCTTGAATAATACATTGATTTTACAGTGTGAAAAGTAAAAAGATTTCGGGGGTGCAATCAAAATAAAACGTTGAAATATTTTGTTTGACTTTTTAAGCGAAAACACATCGTCATTATCAAGTGAAACATTTACAATTATTAAATGCTATTCTTCCTCTTTTGCTATAGATATCTCATCTACTGCATCAAATGGAAATTTTTTATATTCTTCAGGTTGTACAAGGGAGGAAATTTACTTATGTTTTGTATAACACTGAAACAAACATAATAATAATTATATTTCAGATAAGACTTATCATCAATCAAAGCCGTACTGTTTCTAAAGATAAAAAAGCGGATATGCTTGTCTTAGTTCTTGCTAGCTGGAACCAAGTCCTTGACCCCTGGATTTATCTCTTATTCAGACATGAGATGCTAAAGCGATTTGCACATTTGATCGCGAAATCCCGAGGAGGGTCGGCCTTGAGACGTCTTGTAAGCTTTAAAGGAAGCTGTAGGAGCACATCATCTGGTTCTGAAACAACACATGACACACAATCACGACAAGTGCAGATGGATTCGTTTGTGGGTGAAGAATTGAGTTCAAAAATGTAAGCAAAACCAGGACTACTGATGTCAACAATGAAAGAATGATACAGGACAACGTTTCAATATCCGACGAAGTGAAAAACTGTTTCTGTTTTAAGTCACCTTGCATTACCTAATAATAGTGTATATAAAGGTTAAATGCATGCTTACGGTAAATTCACTTATATTTGTACATGATGTTTATGTTTTTAGATAACGTTTATTATGTGTAAATATTCACGTTTTCCTTTTGTCTGTTTTATCGAAATTGTTTTGCAGTCCATTAGAGTAAATTGTCATGTTCTGGCAAGTTAACTAACGAAGAGAGAGAGAGAGAGCGAGAGAGAGAGAGAGAGAGGCGGAAGATATTCTTTTCTTTTTTCTTTTTCTAATAGAACAGCATCAAGGACTTCCATCACATATTGGTTTACTTTTGTCGTTATTGTTTTGGTTACAGGAGCGTATGAATAAGATATTTCTATCCTTTCACTAGTATTGTCTATCCTGTTACCAATAGCAGTATTACATATTGTGATTGCCAATTAGCGAAGATAAAGATGCTGTCAACCTTAAAAGTGTTCAAATAATCAACCATTTAATTGTGTAAAAGACTAGATATATATACCATTTGAAGACGTTTCAGTCAAAAATAGTTTATCCATAACTTTAACCATAATAACAAGAAACACACATTTCTATATTTATGAATGCGGTTGTGAAATAACTGCTCCCTTTTTGCAGTGGTACGATTTCTTATTTGTGGTCTTTGAATCCAAAACGTTGTTGCACTTTTTACCAGTACAATATATAATATTGTTTTCATTTATGAATTTATTGGTTACAAGTTAGCATAGACATGATAAAGGTGTACACACTTATTTTGTTTTTACTAAAGGAGTAGGCCCAGTAAGACAACTTTTTGGCCCCAAAATATAGCAGTTTTACAAAATTGTTAACATGTAAATTTTTAGCTATTTATTGGAAAGAAGAATACGTCTGTTACATAAATACGGGCTATTTTTGACAATACAATGCACATGCATTTGTGTTCATTCTTAATGTTTAAATGTAAGTTGTATTTGATGATAATACATAACATATATAAAGATTGAGAATGAACACGGATGCGGCCACTTTCATTTTGACAAAAACCATCTGAAAAGTGACATATTATGGCATATTTGATAGATTTTTCATATTTAAGCTTGAATTTGAGCGTCTTTAATGACTAAATCAGTTCAAATCTTTCACATAAACTAATTGAATCGACTGCAGTAGACACTTAAGTGTTTAAAAAGTGTCCAAAATCTTTCATCAGATGAACCTGAATTTTGAGGCCAAAATCGGCCATTACCGGACCTACTCCTTTCTTGAAAGTTCTTCCTCTATACTTCTATGCAAGAAACGTGCTGTGTAAAATTTTTGAACATGTTTTATGCTTTTGAAATCATTAAAGAAAGTTCAATATTCATCGGAAGAAATAATTTTATGGTTGATCTAGTATCGGTAAGCGGGAAGACTTGCATTTCATTTGCCCCGATTGAATTTAGTTTGTAGAAAATAGAATAATAAACAAAATGTGATTTTTCTGTTACAGTTATAATAATAATACTACAAATGAACATTTTGCTGATTTCAAGGCAATCAGAAAACAGGAAAAACATAATTTGAAACATAGAATCCTATACTGTACGCACGTAAATTACGCACAAATCTAGTTTAAATTATTTATGATTTCATCAAAATAAATGTAAATTGTGTTTATTATTGTTTAAATGACTAAGAAATCCTACAATTAATTATTCACTTAAAACACTTAAAACGTCATTTTGCATTACGAATAAAGGAAATTACTAGGGTGTACCGAAAATTCACCATTTTATCTAAAAGACCCAAAATAATGACAGTAACTGTTATGGCTATTGTTATTTTATAGTTCGTTTCTGTGTGTGTTGTAATTTAGTGTTTCTGTTGTGTCTTTGGATTTGTTTTTTCTCAATCGATTTATGAATTTTGAACAGCGGTATACTACTGTTGCCTTTATCTATGGTAAGTATAGTCGGTTATTTTCGTACATAAGCCGCGATTTACCAAACCATTGAAAAGGTTCGTCTAAAATGCACAGTGATGCATGGATTTTACCTCGTGTTGAAAACATTACTGTGAAATGCAGAACAGCAGTAAAAATTCTGTTCATTTGCTATGTTCAAGTTGACAAAATGACTTTACGTATAAAACATAAAATATGTGTATAAAATCTAACACGGTTAAACGACTACCACATATGATTATCTCTCAAAACAATAAATAACGATTTTATCTCTTGCACAGGCTATAACATTTTTTCCAATTTCTCAGAAACGAAGACTGATAATGGCGTTCAGGCTGTTTAGCAAGTAAAACAATTTTACATTTTTAAATCGCATTATACATGTTTAGAAGGCAGTAAAAACATTAACTAGTAAAGTAGCTACTTTTGAAGCTAAGTGCATTAAAAGAACAATGTATTGAAATAAATGTTAACATCTGGATCAGGAAAGAAAAGACTTTGTTTGATATCTGATTTTTTTAATTATTGTTTGCAAACCCATTTTGGAACTATTTTCTTCCTTTTTTATTTTGTTTGTTTGTTTTTAGAGATTTGTGTTAACAAGTAGGTTCGCTTGTTTGTATTTGACCTAATAATATTAAGTCATCGTTTTTCTAATTTTAATAGATAATTTTAAATAAATTTGCTTTTTGCAGATGTTCATTGCATATCACTGATATATCGAAAATCTGACTTGTCTTCTTCCCCCTTATGAAAACATTTTCCTCATTGCTACTTAAATTTCTTTGATAATTATCCACTGTATCATTTAAACAAAACTATCGCCTGAATTGCCCTATAAGGTATTCAATTGGACATATATCATAAATTAATTATTTCTGCTGAGTCTTTACACTTATTATATGAAACGGGTTTCAGTTCATGCTGCATGGCGACTGTATGTACATATTTCATATTCTCCAGAGTTACCATTTGAACTTAACGATATTGTCCTACAGAGACGAGAAGCCTGCATCATATCTAGATTTTCTTGAAATTGATTCGGAAACTTAACACAAGCATATATGCACAAAGCCATCATTTCAGTTTTTTCTATTGTCAACTTCCCATTTTTGGTTATTGTTTCGTGACGTCATTGCCTAATAATTTCGAGTATCACGTCCTATCATTGATATAAAATATATTAGGCAGTACATGTATTATCAAAGGAAAATTCTACAAATGGCCGATAAATGAAAACATCGATTGATGTAAATATAATATCCTTGTTTTTTTTTAGCTTATTTCATAATGTAACTTTGTGAATGTGTATTAAAGTTAAAAAAAGTACTCTTCAAAATTTTGTTTTATTGTGTCTATGACTAACTGTATCAACGGTATTTCTCTCTATATATGTATACGGAATAGATAATTTAGTATACTGCCTTATTGTAATTTATTCTGCAATCGTTCTAATACCGCAGTCCAACTGCGTTGACTGTATGAATTTATGTAATATACTGTCACTGTCCGTATATGCCTTACGCCACTCCTACCACATAAAAAATATCGTAATGAAGTGCAAACACTTCTAAAGAAGAACAACGACGTACACTAATTTCATTACATTTCTACTTAAAACGTTGAATAAAAATATTGTTCTTGTTTTAATTTTTTGGTAAAATTGTATAAACTATTACGCTAATTGCTTGTTGTTGTAATTTTATAACGAAATTGGCAGACTGATTTCCGCAACACGCGTTTTTAAGCTTTACAATTTACTCCTCCAGAGTATGAGACCCCTTTGAACCTTAAAGAAATCTTTTTTTTATAATAAAAGACAAAATGATAACAATAGTTTACACACTTTTTCTCAACCAACTGATGTAACTTCTCCATATATCAATGTGATCGTCTCATTCCAGTAATATCGACAGAGGTCTTCCTTGTCAATACATTAGTGCTTTGTCATTTTTAAAATCAAAATAGGGGGTTTAGATTTATCCGTAATTTATCTTTACTTCGAGCTTCGACCTCCGACCTTCGTGTTTGTGTAAACAAGAATGTGAATCAAGTCGGGATGGAGGTTAAATTGTAATATTCAGTTCATTGAAAACAGCTGCACTGTTCTCACTGTTGGAGATATTTTTGAAGAACATAGTTCTTCTGTTATGTCAGTTCTATCTAGGACAATGACAAACAAATAACAGTACACAATTCTATAAAGACAATCCCTTTTGATAGCTTCTGCCTCTGTCTTAGAAAGCTTCAGCTACCATAAGACCCTTTGGTCTCTAGATTTCTTTTAAAGATATGAATTTTTGATAGTAATTTTTCATTGACGAAAGCCACAAATGGCCATTTTTCATAGGAACCAATGTGTGTTATAACGTTTGAGCAGAAAGAAATCACGAATGAATGTTTAAATATGTAACTTTTATCCTTGAGATTATCTTTGTACGTTTCGAAAACAAATTGCATTTACAGATTGAACACAAAAACTACTCCTCAAAGCTTCCATGCTTATATTTTTGTACGCGAGACGCGTGTTTCGTCTACAAAAGTCTCTCAGTGACGCTCGAATCAAAAACGTTAAAAGGCCAAATAGAGTATGAAGAGCATTGAAGACTCAATTTCCGAAAGGATTTGCTAAATTAAGCTGTAGTTATCTTTTCCTGGGGAAGACAATAGTTAGCATTTAATATATATTACAAAAAAGTTTAACAAAAATACCGAACTGCTAGGTAAACTAAAAAAGAGGAAGGCCATAAAAATGACAAGTTCAAGCATTATCAATCAACGGAACGAGTGAAAAACAACTGTCATATTTCTGACTTTATACAGGCATTTTCCGTAGAAATGGTGGGTTAAACGTGGATTAGCTAGCTATAAAACCAGGTTTAACTTACCATTTTCTTCTTGTTTTCCATTCGTTCAATTAGCTGATATAGTTTAACGTTTGATTTTGTAAGGATTTATGGACTTCACCACTTTTTGAGTTAGGTATCTTTGTTTATACTTTTAATGGTTTTTAATCCTATCGATACTTTGTTTAGGCATTGTACAAGGTTTTTGCTTTTTTCATCCAGCTAATCACTTCTTTACACTTATTTCGTTATATGTGTAATGATTGATTATTCATTTAGTTAAAATAGTTTGTCC